CTTCATTAGTTTGGGGATAGTCTCCCATCAAGGTAGGCCTGTTTCCAGGCGGGAGTTCAGGTGGAGGTTGGAGGTTGCGTTCAACCTCGGAAGGCGAGGCCTCCAAAGTGGTGTCCTCGTCACTGCTTTCGTAGGCCATGATGTTACCTGGGTTCCCGAACATCCAGCCGAAGAAAGAAAGAGGCTGGTTTCCCAGCGTGCCGTGATCCACGGGAGTGAGCTCGTTATTGCCAATAACGAACCGGCGGACGTACTCGAGGTAGTACGCGTACAATCCATGACCATACGCCTCGAGTTCGTCGACGTTGTCCATACAGCTGACCCAAGTGTAAAATATATGTTCCATGGCCTCAAAATCCTGGAGGCTCAGATATTCGATGAATGGCTCACTTGAGCCAAGATGGACTTCGGTCGACCTGCCCTTTCCATTTCCCTTCGCTGGACAATCTCGCACAAGATGGTCGGTACTGTCGCACTCATGGCATTTAAGAACCTGGCCGTCTCTACCTCGCAGGTTTCCCCGCCTACCCTTGCCTTTTCCTGAGGTCTCTCTACGGCCCTTGCCACGGCCCTTTCCCCCAAAGAATATCTCATCATGTTGTTCATCTGAGAGCCTCTGGAGAAATGCCGCGATGCCTCGTCCGTTCAACCTCCGACGACCTCGTTTACCTTTACCTTTTCCCTTGAAGCTCCTCCGTATCCTCCTCCTAACACGACGCACTGGTTTTCGTGTGAACCTCCTCCACCTCCGTTTGGCCGGTTGTAATGACCAGAACAAATGTTCAGCACGCTGATTGTCATTATCCATATTCATAATATCTGACCAATCTAAAGCTTCAACACCGTCTGATGATATAGTATCTGCGTCGGTGCCGGAGTCGAAATCCTCGTCTCCCAAGTAGGTGGATACACCGTCGGTTAGGGGATTTGATTCACCCCATAAGGATCGGTGTGGTTGTGGTTCTCTAGAAGGAGGGCTGGTTGCCCAGCTTGGTTGCGATCGATCTCCTGCTAGTAGAGCAGTGGATTCTCCAGGATCATCGGCCCATATGCTTGAGGGCCCGTTCCCAGGCTGGGCTTCAATAGTCAAGGTAGTGTAGAAATTTCCACTACCAGATCCCCTTCCCCTTCCAAACACAGATCCTATATTGCCAGGAGACCGTCCAGATAGGTGGCCTATCGAACGCATCCTCTCCAGCAGCTCATCATACAGTTGTTGTGTTCGGGGCATTTGGTGATTGAGTGGCTGTAAGAGTTGCATGGCTCGCTGGTTGCCGACGCCTAAGGCGCGGAACAAGATCGTGGTTAGTAGTTGGAAGTTGGGAAGGTCAAATCCCACCGACTGTGCCTCAAGTCGGGCCATTTCGAATCGGGTAAGGGTGACATCGATTCGTTCCCCGTGAGGCACGTGGAAGTCGATGAGTTGTGTGCCGGAAGTGAGCTGGCGCTCATCTTCCAGGCGCTCGAACTTCATGCTTAAGAGGAACATGATGTAGGTCACTGGGTCGGTGTGGACCCCATCGATGTCAGCACCATAATTTATGATGTCAGGCGGTACCCTCATGGCGAGTGTCCTCGCTAGGCCACCTAGGCCGCGTTGTATGGCGGCCGCTTGGGCCTGTGGCGTCATACGTCCGCTTGTGACGTTGAGCCATGCGTTGGCCTCATAAACGTACTCGCGGAAAGGTACGTTGCCTTGAGGGTCCCAATATGGGCCATGTGTTTGCCCATCGGTGCGGTTGTCTCCACGACGCATGTGTCCGATTGCTGCCCCCAGCGCGAACCATATGATAGCGAAGATAACCAGCCCAAGGCTGTGTAGTTAAGGGCGGTTATTAGGCGCGTTGCCGCGCTGGGGTAGCGCCTTGTCGAGTCTTCGAGGCGCTCTATCTGGCGGATCTCTCCGCCCTTGCTTCAGGTATTGCGTTTTTGGCTCGTTGCCGAGCGGTTGGTAATAGCGCAATGATGAAGCGTATATAGTACCGATATCGTTGTCTAGACGTCGTACCTCTCGTGTCGCTTCTTGCTCTTGGATAGATCCTCGTAAACGTACTGGGAGTGATAGCGCAGGGTGGTAGGTGGTCACGAAGATCGTGCCGAAGAGTATGAGGCTAAGAAGAGCAAGAGCTGACCACACGAGAGTGCGGCCAGCTCCGCTACCAAGTCGAAAGTGAGCCTGGTAACTCAAATAGCATCCGATTCCGTAGACATCGGATGGCAAATAGCGTCCGGTATCGTACTGACGTGGTTCAGTAAGAGGAATGGACGGATAAGATAGGATAAGATCGATGTATCTGTCTTTCCAGCACATAGCGAACACTCGCGGTGTCCGGGCAAATAGGGCGCGCGTGCCTTGAGCCCAAGGCAGCGGCGCGCGAGCTATGCTCCCGATACTATAACATCTCCCAAAGAGCTACCCTTAAAGTTACTGTAACTAGTTGATTGACCGCGCGGGGGGGGGAGGCCCAAACCGGCTTTTTAGCACCCCCTGGGCGCGTTGTGTGAATTGCTGGGGGGGCTCGAAATCGACACGCCTCACGCAGATCCGCGGGGTCAGGGTTTTAAAACACAGAGGATTTGCCACATTTCTGAAATTCGGTGCCACCCCTCACGCAGATCCGCGGGGTCAGGGTCCAAAAACACAGGGGATTTGCCACATTTCTGAAATTCGGTGCCACCCCTCACACAGATCCGCGGGGTCAGGGTCCAAAAACACAGGGGATTTGCCACATTTCTGAAATTCGGTGCCACCCCTCACGCAGATCCGCGGGGTCAGGATAAAAAAAACACAAGGGATTTGCCACATTTCTGAATTCGGCGCCACCCCTCACCCAGATCCGCGGGGTCAGGGTCCAAAAACACATGGATTTGCCACATTTCTGAAATTCGGTGCCACCCCTCACGCAGATCCGCGGGGTCAGGGTCCAAAAACACAGGGGATTTGCCACATTTCTGAAATTCGGTGCCACCCCTCACGCAGATCCGCGGGGTCAGGGTCCAAAAACACAGGGGATTTGCCACATTTCTGAAATTCGGTGCCACCCCTCACGCAGATCCGCGGGGTCAGGGTCCAAAAACATATGGGATTTGCTACATTTCTGAAATTCGGCGCCACCCCTTACGCAGATCCGCGGGGTCAGGGTCCAAAACACAGGGGATTTGCCACATTTCTGAAATTCGGTGCCACCCTTCACGCACATCCATCGCAAGGCGTGGTAACCCAAACTGCGAGAACTCCCTCGGCCCTTTAATCGCAAGGTGTGGTAACCAAGCCCGTAAACCATACACGTCTTACCAATCGCCAGGTGTGGTAACCCCTCTTGTGATCAGTTGGTTTTGCTGATTGCAAATCGGCTTCGCATGAAGTTTCGATACTGCTTCACGACAGCGCCAAGGCCTCATGACTTAGCTCTTCCATGGCCCATGGCCCATTCTCCGAGAGAGGGGGCCGGCGGCAGGGGGCGAAGCCCTTACGGATATATGCATACATGCATGTATGTATGCATGCATGCATGCATGCATGCAGACATACATACATACATTCGTACATACACACACATACATACATACATACAGACAGACAGACAGACAGACATACAAACATATACATATATATGTATGCATAGTCCCCAAACAGCTTGCTGAACGGGGTGCTGTTAGATTCCAGCAGAGGGACAGGGGAACATAGACATCCTCAAACAAAAACTGGTGGTCCGGGCAGTTCCGCCTAAGACATCCTCACTACTCTCGTATCTGAGTTGTCCAGGACTTGCCGTTTCGCCTGGGACAGCTTCCCAATTCTGAGCTTCGAGACACCGCGCGCGAGGTGGTCCATTTTCCAGCGCGGTTCGCCTGAGATATCCTCATAACTCTGCGCTCCGAACTATCGCGCGCGAGGTGAACCGGCGCGTTTCGCCTGAGACATCCTCCCAATGGGCGCCGCGCGTTCTTGTGGGCCACTTGGCCCGTCTTGGGGCGATCATGGGGGCCTCTTTGGACATGGTGGAGCGCCGGAAGCTGAGAAGTCGAGAACCGGGAAAACATTTGAAAACATGCGGAAAATCAATGGTTGTTGCCTCTTGGGGCCTTCTGGAGAGCGCTCGTCGAGTCCTCTTGGGTCGTCTGGGGGGTATCTTGGGACGAAAAGCTTGAATTGCCGTTTCGGGATCCTGCTCTGTGGACCCTCCTGGGGCCGTCTTGAAGCCCTCTTGGGCCGTCTTGGGCCCCGCTTGGGACCCTCTTGGGCCGACTTGGGGCCGTCTTGGGTCTCCATTGGGGATCTCATGGCTTGTCTTGGGCCGGTCTCTGGGGCCTCTTGGGACGTCGTGGAGCGTGGGAAGCTCGAAAGTCGAGAACCCCCAAAAAATCGAAAAGCCTTAGGAACATCCATAGTTGTTGCCTCTTGGGGCCCTCTGGGGAAAACTCGTCGCATTCTACTGGCCCGTCTTGAAGCTATCTGGGACCGTCCAGAAGCCACGCGGGACAACTGGAAGCCTTCGGGTGTCTGTTTGACGCCACTTAAGGCCGTATGGGCGGCTCTCGGGCCGCTGGAGAGGGACCCCGGAGAGCCCCGAGAACCCATGACGACCAGAGGCAGCTGGGAGAAGTCTCGACCCTGTAATCCGCGATATATATATACGCATACATACATACAAATACGTACATGTCTATATATATAGAGAGAGGAAAACAAAAATAAAGACATATAACTATATAAATATATAGGCAGAGCGATATACAACACCCTGTGTGAACCAGGTCGATCTTCCAACCTCCTCCTGGCTCGACCCTGCACATTCTCAAGTCATGTTCCTCCTCCATTTCCTGCATATCCTCCACCGCCCTTGTTCTTTCTCAACATTCCTTCCTCAGGCCCGAAGAGGAAGGAGGGCAACACCGGACTCGGCAGAACAAGAGCGCAACAATAACTCGTTCCACGCGTCCGCTCTTTCTGACAAGGATGGCCGCCACTACCTCACCCTTCCAGAGCGAAGTAGAGCCTCCTTAATCTGGAGTTGGAAGTTCGGGCTGTCGTCGTACATGGCCTACCAGGGCTCCGGCGTGTCCCAAATGCGCGTCCCGCCCATTACAGAATGCCTATCTCGCCCACATCCCCGTCTTGCAAATCTGGTCGCGCAAAGTAGAACCCTGAGGCATGTGATTCGCCACTCGCTGAGCAGTCCTCTCTTGCCAGGCCTACGACTGATCGATCGCCCAACGGTAGACATACTCCTCTTCACAAGCGCAAGTACCCAATTCCCACGAAAACTTATGGGACGTTTGCATGCAAGCGAACAAGAAGCATGAGTAGATGCTTGCATACCCTCCTCCCTGTCCTCCCGCCTCCCCATTCCCGTTCCTCCTGACGCCTTCCTGCCTTCCCCATCCCCCCTGTCACGCACTCCCTTCCTCTTCCCCCCTCGTCTTCCCCCTCCCCTTCCCCTCCTGGTCTCCCTCCCAGACGAAAAGGAGAAGGAGGAGAGGAGGAAGAAGAAAGAAGAGGAATAAATGGAGGTAGAAAAGACAGGGAAGAGCGGGGCGGGGAGGAGAACGAGGAGGATGAGGAGGAAAAGGACATTGAGGAGGAGAAGAAGGGGGGAAGATGAGGGCCGAACCAGAATGATACGAGAAGAATGAAAAGAGAGAGAGAGAGAGACACACAAAAAAAGAGAGGCCAGGGAGGCAAGGGAGGAGGAGGAGGAGGAGGAGGAGGACTGGAGGGAGAAGGGGGGAGGAGAAAGAAGAAGGGGAGGAGGAGGAGGAGGAGGAGGAGGAGGAGGAGGAGGAGGAGGAGGAGGGGAGAAGAGGAAGGAGGAGAAGGAGGAGAGCAGGAGGCTCCCTCCTACCCTCAGCTGAGCCAGCCTCGCCCAGACCCACCCAACCGCACCACCCGCGACCCCGCCTCGAAGACGCCCATGGACTCGGCGTTGGGCCCGGAGGCATCGCTGGCATTCTGCAACATCTCCACGCTCCTCGCGCGGGCGAAGGCGGCGGGGATCGGGAAAGGGCGAAAGGCGCCACACCCCCAACCCCTCTTTCTGTCCAGGACGAGGAGGAAGAGGAGGATGAGGAGGAGGATAACCAGAGTAAAACCACAATGCATCAACGATGCTGCAATACTTCCACCCGTTCCAAGTCCACTCCTCATAAGCCCCATATAACAACTCCACTTCATTGCAGGAAGTGCTCCCTCTAATGACGAACGCCCCATGGTCCTGCAATTCAGACGAGAGCCCGAAATGAACTGCCGTCAATACTTCTACCTAAAAGCACGGCAACGACGTATACTTACAAACTACACTGACGTGTCCAGCGAGAGGCACGCTTTGAAAAATGGCCACCCTCAACCAGTGCAGAATACCTCGACACTCTAACGGGGCAGTATCAAGCGAGAGCCGTGATTTGAACAGGAACCGCACTCCATCCGTGTAGTTTTTGTACAGGCTTAGGTGTATTATCATAAGAAAAAAAAAAACAAGTGGCACGGGCGCCCTGGCTCTTGCACCAAGGAGCTGCGAGGGACAGGAGGCTTTCGCCTCGTTCCTCCAGAAGTTTCCTTCTGTGGCCAGGGGAGGACGAACGACGAACGGACGAACAACGAGGTCGGCGTTCTACAACACAACTGCGCAAGAGAATAAGGAGGCCACGGGGGTGGGGAGGACGTCCACGGAGTGGGTTGGAGAGGCCAGGGGTTGAGAGCGAGGGGAGCTGGGGAGGGCTGAGTCGAGGACAAGGCCAAAACGGCCAGGGGGGAGGACGAACGACGAACGAACGAACGACGACGACGAAGTAAGGAGGCCGGGTGGGGTGGGGAGGACGACGACGGGAGGCCAGGGGGGGGGTGAGCGAGGGGGGCTGGGTCCAGAGAGTGGGTCAGGGAGGCCCGGGGGGGAAGCGAGGGGAGCTGGAAAGGGCTGGGTCCAGGGCAAGACCAGGACGGCCAGGGGGGAGGATGAACGACCAACGAACGAACGAACGACGACGAAAATAAAGAGGTCCGCGCTCTAGAACACAGCTGTGCCAAAAAATTGAAAATCCACTTCCGTGCCTCTGGCACGAAGTGGGGTGCCCCAAAACGCACAATTGTGTCGCTGCAGTTTGAAGGGGGCTGGAAGGCCCAGCCAACAGCTTTGCCTCAGGCGAAGCCAAGCTCCCGCTTTGTTGTATCGTAGTAGCGATAGTCCCAATGTGAACGGAGAAGCCATCTCAAGCAATAGGAATATCCTTTTGGTCTCGATAGCGATAGTGTGCCTCGCTATGAGGCACAGTCAAATCTGGGCGGCCGGCCGCTTGAGCCAACGCGGCCGCGGGCGCACGCTCGTTCCCACTCCTTACGTCCCCCAGCTCGCTGGAGAGTCGGGGGGGAGGGAGACGAACCGTGAACCCGACGCCCCTATACAGCAAGCACAGTTCAGCAGCTAACATACATAAGGACAGGAAAAGGAGACGGGCCCAAAATTCGCCGGCCCAAAGGGCCAGAGGCGTGCTAAAATCTCCGGTAACTGGTTAACAATTCTCTAGTTCGCGCGCGCGGGGCGGCCCCTGGGGGTCCCCGGACGAAAAGTACCCCGGGCGATCCCCGACCGATCCCCGGGAGACTCCCCCAGAGCGCTCCAGGAGCGCTCCATGAGCGCACCAGCAACTCCGAGACGTCCCCGAGAACCCCAAGAAAGGCCAAGAGGCCCCATAGAGGCCCCCAAGATGGTACACGAGGGGTCCGACATGCCACAAGATCGCTCCAAGACGCCCAAGATAGCCCCCAGACGCCCCAAGAGGCCTCCAAGAGCACTCCCAAGAGGGCCCCCGGAGGCAAAATTCATTGTTTTTTTCCTTAGGTTTTTTTGACAGATGTTGGAGCTTCCACTTTTTCGGCTTCCCGACGCCCCAAGACGGCCCAAGAGGCCCCCAAAATCGCCCCAAGAGGGCCCAAGAGGCCCCCAAGAGGGCCCCAAGATGGCCCAAGAGGGCTCGAAGACGGCCCAAGAAGCCTCCAAGACGGCCCAAGAGGGCCCCAAGAACGCCCCCAAAGGGGCCCCAGAGAGGGAACACGAAACAACATTTCGAGCCCTCCGCCCTCAGAAGCCCCTACGAGGCCCCAAGAAGCCCCTAAGAGGCCCCAAGAGGCCCCCACGAGGCCCTCAGGAGGCCCCCAAGAGTCCCCCAAGCGGCCCCAGGAGGCCCCCCAAATGCCCCCCCGAGCGCCCCAGGAGTCCCCCAAGCGGCCCCAGGAACCCCCAAAGCGCCGCATTGACACCAGGCCCTCGGGCAAACGGCAGACATGAGACTGCATGGGCCGGCGGAATGAGCGAAGCGATAAGGTGGACCCGCCAGCAAGTTGCTTCGCAAATGTATGACATATTCATCAGGCGGCGTCAGAACTTGATGTCTGGCCGGCCCGATATGGCGCATGTCTCTTCAGGTCACGTTTGAAGGTCTGTGTACCTCCCATGACTTGTAGGATCATGTCTCTGTCGATGCTCCCATTGGTGTGGCCATCCGCAGTCATGTCGCGGGTATCACACCACTGAATGCTGTCCACGATTCCACGCTCCATCATCTGACGTATCCAACTGATGTGTCCTAAAAGGGTATACTCAGACGGCGTCTTCAAGTCTTTGCTTGACAAGGACTTAGAAACAGACTCAGCATCGATGGTCAAAAAGACCTTGATGCTCGGGCCACCCAACTCGAATCTATCTTTCAACTGAGTGGGCGTGAGCGGCCGTGCGTGGAGCTCGTGCCGAGTCGCAATCGTGGGATAACAGTCCTCCAAATTATGGGCTGCTGCTAGTGGCTCGAGCGGGCCTGCAAGCGGTGAGACTTGCAGTGCGCGTCGATCAACTGAACGAGAGGCTTACCAGACGACGTGTTTCCACGTTGTAGCAGGCTTGCCCCGCGAATGCCATAGCCTTCGACGTCGTCGTCGGCGTCTCCACTCAAGCGTCGGTAGCCTGAGTCGCTACGTAAGTCGACCTCACCCGTGGGGTTCATCGCCTGGTAGACGATCTTTTTTCGGGCAGGCCTGTAACTTTCTGGCGGTCGCGTTCAGTCGTCGCACTTGAATGTCGGTCGGTTCTTGGACACGCTGTAGAGATACAACATGCACCATTAACCGCACCAGGGTGATCAGCGCGCATGCCAGCGCACCTCTGGGACTGACGAACATGCCTGCCACCATCTTGGTTGCTTGAGCGTCAGCGTCAGCGCCAGTCAATTCGGGATGTTGTATAGGACGGAGCTGTTTGAAAACAGATTCGTCTTGATCCAAGGTAAAATCTCCGTCCTCGTCCTGATTGTATCTCACAGCACAGTGAGTATACGTGTGCTTGTTGTGTTTACACTTACCGAAGGTATATTCAACGCATTTGACAGATTTGTCAACGGTGCCCTCAGTTCCAGCCAAATTGGTATCATCAAAATGCTTGGCCGTGAACAAACTGTTGCTCGTCTCGAACTCCTCGTCGTAAGACGTGGGTCGGAGGCCAAATCCTCCGGTGGTTCTCTTGAGCTTAAGTGAAAAAGCCCGTGGAACGTCCTTAGTGCCTGTGCCCGGTTTCAAGCATTGCAGGCAGTGCCTTGACTAGTCGCAGTTCTCGAACCCTGGAAGAGCACGGAGCGCGGCGGCCGATCCGGGCGGCAAAGTAAAGCGCGCCGCACGTTCCTTTTCACCAGTTGCCTCAGCGAGTTCCTGATAGGTCAGTCCCTTCAGGAATGCCATGTTGATGTCGAGGGAAGCAATGGTCCACTGCTCCTTGCACGCTGCCGTGCTGGCGAGTAACCTCTGGCTCGACTTCCTTGCTGTTCCCGCAAATGGTTCTACGTCGAAAGCTCCAAGGCCCATGAAACCTCGAAGTGCCAAGCGAAGTCGGATGGCACGCCCCATCTCGCCCTTTCGTTCTTCACGAATTTCCATTTGTATACGTACCTCGAAGTCATGATGTTCGACGCTTTGGCTATCCCCTGCATCTTACAGCCTTTTATTGTCGAACCATGTCTTGAGCTCAGTGAAAAAGGGCCTTCGAACTGTTCCCGGGATTCGCCTGAATGTCAGCTTTGGCGAGGAGGTCGTCTTCCTTGACGGCCACAGCTCGCTTTGCAGCGGCGGTGACGCATACTCGCATAGCGGTCACCCGGTCGGCATCTAATAACATGCGTTGCTGCTCGGACAAGACTACCTTTGACATTTCTGTCGTAAAGCACAATTCAACGTATCGACCGTTTTCGTCAGAGTCGAGTCCGTAGCTGTCGTCTTTGACCATGGCGCACAGGGGGAAATATAACGTCTCCTCGGTATCGGGATCGCGCGTGCGCCCCCACTTCGGCAGGTGCCCCCGCTGCTCATCAGCTACAGTGATCAGCACACTCTGATCAAGAACCATGTGTGGGCACGGTAAAGAGGTCCTCTAGTGGAGTGTATCCAGCAATTCTCTTTCCTCATGTAATTCTGCACTCCACACCTCCACATGTGACTCCCGATCAGCTTCTGATTCCTCGTAAATCGTAGAAAGCCGTCCGTCCTCTTGCGGCTCCTTCATATGTTGGCGTATCAGCCAAGTCCTCGAACTTTGACACGTCCTGATCGAAGCCTGCCTGTGGTTTAATGGACTTCAGGCGTTGGATGATTCGCGACTGTGCTGACACAGTTATGCCATGTATGTTCAGAGCAGTACCATCTGATTCGTAGTGGTGGAATCCTAGATTCACGTCGCTGTCGCAATGTACCAATGTGCAGCTGTCAGCAGAAGTAACCGGGGGTAGCTTGTGGATACTCTTGGCTAACCTGACAGAAACTATGTTCTCCATGCGAAAGATGTTTCTGATACGACATTGTCGGGCCCAGTGCACCTTTGGGGAAAGACGACTTGCAATTGTCATGCGGAGCGCACCTTTCTGAGTCGGCACATCGCCGAATGTCAGAGCAGGTCTCCCAGCTGACGGGCTGGCTACGAGCGTTAACACTGTGCGTAGCGCA